TTTTGATGTTGATCCCTGATAGTTGGGTTGTAGCTGCACTGATATGCTCTTTTTTTTTTTACATATATTTTATTGTCAAATTGGTTTCCATATAACACCCAGTGCTCATCCCCACAAGTGCCCTCCTCCATACCCATCTCCCCCTTCCCCCCACACCCATCAGTCCTCAGTTTGTTCTCAGCATTCAAGAGTCTCTCATGGTTTGCCCCTCTCCCTTTCCCCCCACCATTTCCCCCCTTCTTCTGCCCCACGGTCCTCTGTTAAGTTCTTCCTAATCCTCCTATACATGCAAACATATGGTATCTGTCCTTCTCTGCCTGACTTATTTCACTCAGCGTAACATCCTCTAGTTCCATCCATGTTGCTACACGTGGCCAGATTTCATTCTTTCTCATTGCCATGTAGTATTCCATTGTATAGATAAACCACATCTTCTTGATCCATTTGTCAGCTGATGGACACTTAGGCTCTTTCCATGTTTTGGCTGTTCTTGAGAGTGCTGCTATGAACATTGGGGTCCATGTGCCCCTATGCATCAGCACTCCTGTATCCCTTGGGTAAATTCTTAGCAGTGCTATTGCTGAGTCATAGGGGAGTTCTAGTGTTAATTTTTTGAGGAACCTCCACACTGTTTTCCAGAGGGGCTAAACCAGTTTATATTCCTACCAACAGTGTAGGAGAGTGGCCGTTTCTCCACATCCTTGCCAATATCTATAGTCTCCTGATTTGCTCATTTTAGCCACTCTGACTGGTGTGAGAGAAATACAAATCAGTGTGGTTTTGATTTGTATTTCCCTGATGAGGAGGGATGCTGAGCATCGTTTCATGTGTTTGTTGGCCATCTGATTGTCCTCTTTGGAGAAGTGTCTGTTCATATCTTCTGCCCATTTCTTAACTAGATTGTTTGTTTTTTGGGTGTGGAGTTTGATGAGTTCCTTATAGATTTTGGATACTAGCCCTTTATCTGATATGTCATTTGCAACTATCTTTTCCCATTCCGTTGATTGCCTATTAGTTTTATGGATTGTTTCCTTTGTCGTGCAGAAGCTTTTAATCTTGATGAGGTCCCAGTAGTTCATTTTTGCTCTTGATTCCCTTGCGTTTGGGGATGTGTCAAGTAAGAAATTGCTGCGGTTGAGGTCAAGGAGGTTGTTTCCTGCTTTCTCCTCTAGGGTTTCGATGGTTTCCTGTCACATCCCGGTCCTTGATCCATTTTGAGTTTATTTTTGTGTATGGTGTGAGAAAATGATCTAGTTTCATTCTTCTGCATGTTGATGTCCAGTTCTCCCAGCACCATCTGTTAAAGAGGCTGTCTTTTTTCCATTGGATACTCTTTCCTGCTTTGTCAAAGATTAGTTGGCTGTACACTTTTGGGTCCAAATCTGAGTTCTCAATTCTATTCCATTGGTCTATGTGTCTGTTTTTGTGCCAATACCATACTGTCTTGATGATTACAGCTTTGTAGTAGAAACTAAAGAACCTTGATTAATAAAATAGATAATGAAATATACACTTAACCCTGGAATAATTATGATGTTAGGCCCCATATGCTTGTGTGGATAGACAAAAAACCCTTTCAGTCCCAAATGAAAAATAACATCATAACTAATTTTTAAGACAGATGAACCTTTTATTTTTTTAAATACTTAATTTTCTTTAAGGAAAAAAAAAAAAAAACCTCTGCGTCTCTCCCTTGTAGCAGAATACAGATGGCTGATGGTTCAACTTAATGATTTTTCAACTGTACAACAGTGCAAAAGTGATATGTGTTCAGTACAAATAGTACTTTGAATTTTGCTCTTTTCCTGGGCTATCAATATGTGGCACATATCATGATGCTCCCTTGTGATGTTGGCAGCAACAGGAACAGCTTCCAGTGAGTCATGTGATCAGGGGGTAAGCAAACAAAACACTTGCAACCATTCTGTCCCCTGCACCCATAGTCTCTTTTCCTTTCATATGATATTTAATAAAGCACATGAGGTATTCAACAGTTTGTTATAAAATAGACTTTATGTTACATGATTTTGTGCACCTGTAGGTTAATATAAGCATTCTGAGCATATTTAAGGTAGGCTGGACTAAGCTGTGGTGTTCAGTAAATGAGGTGTATGAAATACATTCTCACTTCAGGATATTGTCAACTTACAGTGGGTTAATCAGGGCATATTCCACTGTGAGTCAAGGAAGATCTATATATAATAACCTCATCTAGCATCTATTTGTTGAAAGCATAGAATTTTCTAGAAATTCTCTCTTAAACAAGAGAAAGATTAATTTTGTCTCCACAGCAAACTCCAGACCACCAGAGTATAGGTATTGGCTAAAATAAATTCATATGAAATTTTAAAGTTACTTCAATTTATGATTATCAAAGTAAGATTGTACTGTACAATATACAAGTGGAAAGTGGATATTGAAGAGAGAAAACAGTAATCATACATAATTCCTTCACGTTGGGATAGTCACTTTTAATATTTTGATGTATTCAAGGTTTTTTTAGCCAAGTATTATAAATAATTAATTCATAATGAATTCAGTAATGATATGTTATCAAATATTAGAAAGCCCATACACTACTCTATCATGTCAACATAGCATAATTAGCCATAGTGACCAAAGTTTGGGTCTTTCTGTTTCTCTTATGAGTAATATCTTTATATCAAAGTTCTTAACAATGTTGTTTTACTATTTCTTTGATCAGACTCCTGAAAGTGAAAGAGTAGGTCATAAGGTACAAATATTTTTTATGCTTAAAATATATATTATCAGCTTATTTCCTAGAAGTCTATACCAATTTGTGTTCCAATTACCAGTAGCACTTCAAAATATCTCCCTCACCTGCTTTTATACGCCATTAATTATTGTCATTAAAAAACAATTATAATATCTAACAGTATCTTGAAATATAAATTTGGGATGGTTTTATTTCCAAAGGTTTTTACATTGTGATTCTGTACTATGTAAATGACTGTTTCCTTCTCAGAATTTTATTAGTTGTAATTAGCTATCTATATCCCACAGGATATAGTGGGATTCTTAGATATGACATAAAGTCTCTAAATTTTCATATACAAAAGAAATACTTTTCCTAATTAAAACATATTAAAGTTTGATTATAGTTTTTAAAATGACAAATGAAGCAAATATATCTTCTGGAAAAAAAAGTAAAGCAACTTTTTAATTTATGGAGTCCTTATTTACAGTACATGTGCTGTCCTTTACCAAGTCATTCCCTCTGCCTGAACAGTATTCCTGGTTATTCTCTTAATCTTATAAGGGGCCAATATAGTTAAGAACATGAGAATAGGAGAAATAGGTATAACCATACTATATTCAGCTATATCCCTGCACCTAAAATTTCTGGATTCAGAAATATCTCCAGAAATATCCTATCCATTTGAGATCCATTTGGTTTAAAAAGATCACCTTCAAAAGTGTAAATGGTCCTGTAGAAGAGTGAGCCTTACTTGCAAATTGAGTGCATGTCTTTTAAGAGATATAATCATATTTGGTTTAGTCCTCCAGGAATGGGAGTTTGATCACTAGGATAGCCTATTTCTACAGGGCAGAGAACAGACTGAATAAATGGTAAACAGCATGGTGTGTTTGGGTGACTGGAGGGTAGAGGTGGGAGTATTACAGGTAAGAAATTGGTTCGAAAAAGAGGGACACTACGGACAAACATAAAGCTTGATATTTTAAACCTTTGCTTTCCTACTGTAGACTGCAGTAGTAGATTGATGCAGTCAGAGCACATAACCTACTTCAAGGCCAGGATGGTCTAGTCTGGTTTCTCTGGTTGTCATGTTATTACCACCTCTTCTATTCAAGAAGAAGGGATGGAGAGAAGAAGAGAGGATGGCCAAAGGGAAATGCACACAGGTGTAATCTTTTTCCTGTGTAGTTGTCTTCCATTCAAAACAATATCTGTTGTACAAGACATCAAAAAGTCACAGACTCCTTTTTAAAACACTTAATTGAGGATGAACTGGACTTTGAATCTTTGGAGAGCTCTGTTTTTAGGTTCTTCTTTATCTCTCTGGGGTGACTTGCTAATCATTGGAATAATTTTTGGCCAACTCTCAAATTTCATTCCTAGTTCTAAAAATACTCTCATTCAAAACATGTGGATATTAAAAAAAAATAGTAACCTGTAATCCTACTGCAAAAAGATAACCTCAATTAAGCTTGTGACTTCTCAGAACACCCACTTCCACCAGACTACTTTTCCTCAAATTATTGCTCTAAAATTTTCATCACACTTGACTTACAGTTTTGTCATTATATTTTGGATATTTTATGAAAGAACCCAGAAAATAAAGCATGTATTTTGTACAAAGTTGGCACACAGTAGGAATACATAAATATTGACTATGTTTCACCAGCCATTACAATAACAGAAAAGTGTTCTTGAGTTAAAGAAATGAAATATTAAGGAAATACCATAAAATATATATTAATTTAACTCTTCATCTCCTGTGATGATCATTCAATATTTTTCATGATCTTCACAATGTGGTATAGTGGAAAGAGAATGAGTATTGGAATCAAACTTACCTGATTTGGGGAAGTTATTGACATCTGAGTCATACTTTTCACAACCTTTTTTCAAAGAACTTATGTGAAGAACAATGAGGAAACGTGTAGACACTCAACACATGTTTGTATTCTCATACCTTCACCCTATGCCATAACACCCAACATGTTATGTCATATACTTTATCCAGAGCCTATGTCATATACTTTAGTTCACTCTGGCTAATATTCCGGTTTTAGAGATGAGGGAGGGAGAATGGTGTCCTGCCTGTCCTTAGTACTGAGATCCAGAGAGAATCTGAGACAGAATATCTCATTCTAGAGCCAAATAAATGAGTGGAAATATCCTTTTATTGTGCCTCTAACCCAGAGTTACCTAATAACCTTCCCCTAAAATCAGTCTGAGAATGGTGGAATCGCCAAAATGAGGGTAGGGTTGTTCAGGATATCGGGACCAGGCATCACTGTAATGGTAAGAGGAATATTTTTCCATTGCCAAATAGTTTACCCAAGGCCTCCTTCATGTCTCTGTTCCTCAAGCTATAAATGAATGGGTTTAGCATGGGGATAATCACCATATAGAGAATAGCAGTCCTACTTTGACTCTCTGCAGAGTGAGTTGATGGAGGAAGTAAATAAACACCCATAAGAGATCCATAGAAGAGCAGGACCACTGTGAGGTGAGAACCACAGGTAGAGAAGGCTTTCCAGCGCCCTCCAGGAGATGAGATGCCAAACACAGCACAGGAAATGCGGACATAGGAGAGGACGATCAGCATGAGAGGAGCCATGAGGAACATCAGGCCCATGGTGATGATCATCAGCTCATTAATGTGGGTATCTGAGCAGGCAAGCTTCAGTAGAGCACTGGGATCACAGTAGAAGTGAGGGATTGCCTTGTGGGTACAGAAGGCCACACGCGTCAGCAGCAGTGTGTGCATCAGGGCAGGGCAGTTGGTTAGCACCCAGCACATAACCAGCATTAATGCACAAAGTTGGGGACTCATAGCTGTGTTGTAATGGAGTGGCTGACAGATGGCCACATAGCGGTCATATGCCATCACAGCCAGAAGGAAGTTGTCAAGGCCACCAAACACAAGGAGAAAATACAGCTGTGCAAGGCAACCAGAATAGGAGATGGTCCGACTCTGGGTGTGAATGTTGGCCAGCATTTTGGGTATTGAAGCAGAGGTGAAACAGGCATCAGTTAATGATAAGTTGGCCAGGAAGAAATACATGGGAGTATGAAGGTGTGGGTCAGAACTGATGGCCAGGATGATGAGAAGGTTCCCTGTCATGGTGACTAGGTACATGCCCAGGAAAACACCAAATAGGAGAGATTGCTCCTCCGGCTGCTCAGAGAGTCCTAGAAGGAGGAAGTCTGAAACAGCAGTTTGGTTCACTCTGCTTGGTTTTCCCATCCCTTGTAGTTCATGTTATCTGTTCAGATAAAACCCTTCCCTGTGTTAGTATTTAATTGGTAGATCAACAACAGATGTATCTGTGTAGCCAGAACTATACTGGGGAAAAAAGGAGAATAAATGGACTTTGCCAATGAGAATCTTGAATCTCATTGGGGGTGTGAGAAAACATCCCTGGGACATAGAAACAGGCAAGACAATATCCATACAAATGCAAATTGTGCTTTTGTGTTAGATGTCCACAGAAGAGATCAGTTTGACTAGAGAAATCAATGTAGGCTATTGGAGGAGGTAAGAATTGAGCATATCTTTGAAGGCATGATTGGAAAAGTCATTTATGTTTAGTGATTGATGATTTCCTTTGCTGCCTCTTCCCCAAAACACACACACACACACACACAGAGTCACTCACTCACTCACTCACTCACTCACTCACTCACACAGACAAAATAGCCTCCTCTCTACTAGCCTCCCCAATCCCTAGAACTTGACTGCACCATTCAGCTCCCATCCCTGTGCCCTTCCCTAACTGGGCAGTGAGTGTCTGTAATGTCCTATCTACCCCATCTCCTCCTCTCCACAGACAGGGAGGGGGCCATGCCCACTCCATCATCACTGTCTCTTCTTTGTCATTGTCCTCTTCCCCTTCTGCTTCTTGGTACCTGTATTCACTCTAGGAACTGATATTTCAGTTCTCTTGGATTCTCATCATGATCAGCTCCTATTTGTAGGGACTGGCTAAAAATGAGACATCTTCATAGCATTGTTTTATTCTTCATAAGGCCATGACATAGGTGCTACTATCTTTGCAAATGATGAAATTGAGCTTCAGAGATATTTTATGTACTCAAGATCAGATAGCTAGTAAATGACAGTCAAATGCAGGTGTGCCTAACTCCAGTGCCTGTGCCTTCACCCCTACAATTACACCATATTTCTCCAATATTTACTTCTCATTAGAGAAAGGAAGGTAGAATGAATTAGGCTCTGTTTCTCTGGGCTTGAAAGTAGCCACTCTGTTCTGCTCCCCTAGGATTTATAGAATTCTGGTGTGAGAGCTCATTTCATATTGGCATTGTAAAAACTGCAGCCTTAGAAGTTTCTGTGAATAGTTAATCCTCTATTTGTTCTTTGGTTTGTAGACAGACTTCTGATCTTAGGTGGAGAGTCAGCTCATCTACCCAGAAAACTTCTGCCTACTTGTTGGGCTGGGAAGCGTGTGTGTGTGTGTGTGTGTGTGTGTGTGTGTGTGTGTCCAGCCCCTTGCACATTCTCACCTGTGAGAGCATGGATCAGTGTCAGGCATCTTTAAATTTTCCATTTCTTTTTCCTGGATGGATAATTTACAATGAAGAAGTTCCTGGGACCTTTCAGACTCAGTCAACAAAGTTGGGGTCTATGGGGTCCAGAGTTCATTAGGAACATGGAGTGTATGATTCATTTGCAGCTTCCTTAAGCCTGAGAAGACAAGAGTCTTTCTTAGGGTTTTAAAGGCTCCTCAAAAACATCTCCCAAAGTGCTCATTAGAGCCAACCTCAGTGTCACTGTGCAGCCTGTCCTCCAGCCAACTCTGGCCGGATCCTGGGGGAACTGAGGGCATCTCTTTCCCAGGGGTTAAGCTCAGATGTGAGTCTCAGGAGTGTGATTCTGCGGCCCCTTGCTGGAATACAGTGCACTTTAGCCTGGCCAGCAGGCCCCTATGCACTGGGCAGTTGAATTACTGTCCCATACGCTAGGCAAAACTCAATTGAGGGAAGTATCGAAGTATAAATTATAACATAACTATTTCTGTTGCTGATTTTCCTAAACAAAGTAATCATGTAGAGAAACCCCTTCAAGTCCTAAACTCTCAATTAAATGAGGCGGCCTATACAGATCACACCAGCCATAATGTCTGATACATAGAAGCTGCTAAAAATATTTTATCTCCTGTATTTTTATTAATACTATTGAATTGATACTATTATTAATATTATTGAATACTTTGATTACACGGTCTCAAGTAAGACTCACAACAAGCTTAGATACAGGAGCTATTATTATTCCTATTTTACCGATGATGAAACAGAGGTTCAGGGAAGATCATGATTTGACCAAGGTCATACAACTACTAAATGAAGGGGGTGGAATTCCAACATAGGTCTGCATGACACTAGAATCCATGTTCTTAACCACCACACTTTGTCTTAGTATCATTGGTTTTAATCACTAACAAATCCATAGATATAAAATAATCTCATTCTTCTAATTCTTATGTCTTTGGTGAGATCAACTATTTGTTTCATCTGATTTTTAGTCATGGGTAATTATTCCTCAAATTATCTTATTAATATATTTCTCCTTTTTTCTATTGGGATACTTGCGTTTTTTTAAAATGGATATTAATGGCAATAAAACAAATGAAAATATTTTATGGGTGTTGTCTTCTGTCCTTGTCATTCCAAGATGACTACAACTTTTTAAAAATGATTTTTATAGTCAAATTTGACAGATATGTGGCTTTGTGCTTTTTTCCATTACTTTTATACTGAAAAGTCCTTTCCATCTTACAGATCAAGAAAATGTAATTTAGTTATTTCTTCTAAATTTTAAATAGTATATTTAAATTTTGTCTCCTTTTTTTCTGCCAAGATTTTATTTTAATTCAAATTGCTTAACAGTGTAGCATAGCTTTCAGGAGTAGAATTTAGTGATTCATCCCTTAGATATGATACTCAGTGCTCATCATAACAAGTGCGCTTCTTAATGCGCATTACCCCATGTTTTAATTTACTTGCAGTTTATGTTGTGGTATGGTGTGAGAAAAATATCTACCTTTACTTTTAATTTTTCACAGTAGCTAGTTTTATCAGGACCGTTTTTTAATAACTCATGCATTTTCCATTGGTTTGTTAGGTCTGAGCACCTGTGCCTGGCCTTTCCAAATCACTTGAGCTGCTCACAGCACTGGCGGCAGAGTTCAGAAAGGGGGCCTCTGGACAGCAAATATTTTTATTATTATTATTATTTTTCACAAATAGTTTATTGTCAAGTTGGTTTCCATATAACACCCAATGCTCATCCCCACAAGTGCCCTCCTCCATACCCATCTCCCCCCTCCTCCCCCACACCCATCAGTCCTCAGTTTGTTCTCATCATTCAAGAGTCTCTCATGGTTTGTCTCTCTCCCTTCCTCCACCATTTCCCCCCTTCTTCTCCTCTATGGTCCTCCGTCAAGTTCCTCCTAATCCTCCTATACGTGCAAACATATGATATTTGTCCTTCTCTGTCTGACTTATTTCTCTCAGCATAACACCCTCAAGGTCCATCTATGTTGCTACACATGGCCAGATTTCATTCTTTCTCATTGCCATGTAGTATTCCATTGTATAGATAAACCACATCTTGATCCATTTGTCAGCTGATGGACACTTAGGCTCTTTCCATGAGTTGGCTATTGTTGAGAGTTGGACAGCAAATATCAAGGTGGAAGCTGCATGCTCTTCATAAAACCTAGCTCTGGGAATCCTAGAATCTCATTTTCACTGCCTACCATGTATGAAAAAAGTCACGAAGACCAACCCAATGACTAAGAGAAAGAACTTAAGCTCCATCTATCCATAAAAAGAATAGCAAAGGATTTTTGGCTCTTTTTAATTACCACCACCTGAAATTATTTATATTCTTTCCACATTCAAAATAGACTCACTCCTTTCCCCAAAGCTTCAGAATTTCATTGTACTGCAACATCAGGTCAATATCCAAGATCTTGTGTCTAAATGAAGTCCTGGTGAAAATGTGTTTTCTTAGATGCATTTGCCTGTGCATTGCCCTTCTCAATCTGGAGACGTGGGACATGAGAGACAAGTTATCTCTCTCCTCCCTCCTCACACATACCCAACATGATGCTGATATTGGCGTGGGATAACTGCAACAGACACTCCAAATTCTCAGGGGCAAGGATAGGACAGAGAGAGGAGCAGGAGGCAGAGAGTGATGATGCTGGTAGTATTCTACTGATGGATATGCCACACTTCGTCTGTTCTGCTGTTGATAGCCATTTAGATGATTTCCTTTTAGTATTTCACAAAGAGTGATGATACAAATATTCTTATACATTGCCTTGTGGGGAACATATGTACACATTTTGGTTGAATATATACTTAGTAGTAGAATTTGGGGGTTCTAGATTTTGCATGATTTCAACTTTAGTTTTTCAGAATGATTTTCATATATACATGTCAAATATCTCCTCCTCTGGGTGTGAACTTTTCACTTTCTTATTGGTGTCTTTTGAGAAATAGAAGTTATTAATTTTAATATAATTGAATTTCTTTTTTTCTTTTTGATTATGCTGTTTGTGCCCTAAGAGATATTTGCATACTTTTGATTATGAAGATATTCTTCTGTCTTTTCATCTAAAATCACCATTATTTTTTATTTTGCCTGTCTTTGGCCAATGACACAGTTTTAATTACAGCAGTTTTATAATAAGTCTTGATACACGGTTGTATAAGTCTTCCAAGTTTGTTTCCTTGGCTATCCTTGGTACTTGTGTTTTTATGTGAACGTTAGAATTAACTTTATACACACATAGACATATGCAACGACGATGAATGTGATTTGGTTAATAGACTAACTTAGGAAGAATATATATCATATTAATGCTGAAAATTTCAGTCTATGAATATAGCATAATTCTTCATTTTTGCCTGCTTTATTTCAATACCGTTTTAATAATATAAATTTTAGTAAAGAGGTCTTGCACATTACCTTAAATTTATTCCTAGATATCTATGCTTTTCTATTCTAAAGTAAATACCATGTTTAGAATGTTTGTTTTCTATTTGTTCATGGCTAGGATGCAGAAATACAGTTGGTTTTGTATGTTGCCTTTGCCTCAGTGACCTTGCTATATTGTTTTATTAATTCAATAAGTCATAGATTTGGGGGTGACTTTTTAGGCGTATAATCAGCTCGTCTAATAATTGTCTGATTATAATACCATATTTCCAATTCTTTTTTTTTGAAATTTTTATTTAAATTCTAGTTAT